GAGGGCTTGCTGAAACACGCATCTGCAGTTTTTATTTTAACAAACCACAATTAGGTAGAGATCTAACTCTTTCTATGTCGAATGTTTCCAAGTTTAATAGACAAAACAACTTCATTTTTGTCATTTCTAGACCAATTAATATTTATCCGGTTTGCTAGTTTCACATTTTTTTCCTAATATGGAACAGGCTTTGCAAAGGCATCGGAACTACTGTACTTTTATGTACACTGTGGGGCTAAAGTTCAGGATAAAGCAATTTACTGCAGTTCTGTTGGGATAGCTGCGTAGATGATAATGATTCCCTATTGTACAGTGTATCCAGCAGTCGCCCAAAGGCCATGTATTAATGAACAGTTGTCCTGTTCTGAGGCCGTTGGAATTGGAGTCTTTAAAAGATTGCTGGTTCAAATTACAGCAAGTCTTCGCACTTCTAGCTTCTTTATTCTGACAGAAGCATGTTTCTTTCTGGCCTCTGCTGAGTAGGTTGTATTAAGTTGCCACTCATGGCGAACGGGGATTGAGCTGCAGTGGCTAGGAATTGCAGTCGGACTTGGCAAAACGATATATGCCTGGCCTCAGGAGGAACTGCTCTCTTCGATCTAATATTTTTTGCCTTACGTAGGAAGCAAGGTCAGGCGTTTATCAAATGCTTTGGTTTTGGGCAGTTACAACTGATAGAAAGGGCCGGGGGTTGGGTAGGCCTCGTACACATTTGTCCGTTTCATCTACGTGAGTGTAGGAGGAGGAGGAGGAGGAGACGTGATACCAATTTCTCCCATCTTTCCGCTTGAGGTTAAGCTGTTGCTATCTGCCAAAAAATTCACAAGTTAAGGCCCGGATTTCCGATGCGACGTTTGCATTATTAAATTACTAAAGACGTCTTAAAGGCTCGAAAACCATAAATTCCCATAAACTGGCTTCCAAAAAGTTGGATTGGCATTATTTTTAATCTTTTCCTAAATGCTCATGCAGTTAATGAGTTCTTAGGATGCACGATATACCGCAACTGACAGTACAGGTGCTAGCTGAAAGTCGAGGCACGTGTTTTGCCGGTATTCTGCTCCTGTATGACAGCACCGCGAGAGGTTGCACTCATCACTGACTTCCCCAGCGTTCCATCTGCTCTTTTTTAGTAGATAAGTCGGTTTTAAAATTATGCCTTTTGCCTTATGGGATGTCTTGACTAAAAACATAATTACCCTGCGCATATTTACTGTATCGATCTTTCAGTGAGAAAAACAAGTAATTTCCTTTTTGTACTAATTATTACTGAAGATTATTAGCGGCAAGCGAAGTTCGGTTAGTCATACAGAGTGACGGAACTAGAGTGAACGTAATGTAAAAATCAACGCTCTTTGTTTCTATCAAAGATATTCTAAAAAAAACATATAAACCCACTTAAGAAAATATATATCCTTTGCTGAAATTTTTTTCGAAGGATTTTTGCGAAATATGTTCTTTGTTAATAACTTGTAGAAGGTGGATTCGAGAAGATGAAGGTCGAACTTCCTTAGCTTCACCGATTTAAAGAACTGAAAGCGTTGTGGAGGACCGGTGACAGTTTGGAGGCCATTACATTCCAGACTTATGCAAAGCAGCGTGATAGCCGCGGTAAGCTGTAAATTCTTCTTTTCACACTTCAAACGACCTAGGTGCCTATGCGCTCACTAAACATTTGGTATTGTGCATTTAAGCGAGTTTGGCTTCTACACTAATTACCTTGGTTTAACGAAGGGACTGATTTTAGTATATTTTAATAATCTTAGCTGTGGTTCTTATTGATTTCAATGATTTAAACTCCGATGTTTATTTTTATCTAGATCACAGAGTTGGAGTTTGCCCTATTAAGAGGTTCCCGTGGGCGTTTATGCTTGTTCCATGACAAAACTTGCAAATAACAGTCTTCATAAAGAACCATGGCCAATAATATCCCTGTTGCTCATGTTTTAAGCGTTTAAAACTACTATTTCATGTACAACAAAGCGGGGCAATAACTTGATTTACAAAATGAGATGATTTTTTGCTTAGTTATGCCAGGACCATCACAACTGTTTACAAGAACCGGAATCCATTGTTAAGCATGAACGCTTTTGCAAGTACGATGTTCATGGTCGGTTTCAAAGAAGCCCACTTGGGAACGTACATCCCATGGGGCAGAAATTAGGTCGTGATCGTTCAGGCTTCTTGTTGGCATAGAAGCCTCGCTAAAGTCCACTTCTGTATTTTTAAAACAAGAGTTGAATCATGTATTAATACCACATTTTTCTCAATGCGCAGCATTTTACTGTCCTTCTAAACAACAATTTGGGGCTCTCATTGTTGTATTCATGACATCCAAGCGATGCAGGATATCTTTCGAATTTCGGCTTGTATTTAAAGTAACCCCTATTTCCCGCATGTGCTTTGTTCCAGATGTAGATATTTTCCTGTTTGGGCGTTCAACAATAACTGAACACAGTGTAACTGCAAATGAGCATCTTTTGCGATGGCGCCTTAAAGAAAATAAGCACATATCTTCTTTGGTAAGCAAACACTATTTTTGTTGAACTTTGCGTTCAATCTTTGACGGATTGACTTCCTTAACCTTTGTATCATCTCAACGTGGTCACAATGAATATTTTTGGTAGCGATAAACTAATAATTCCGTGTTGTGTCTCTTTGCAATGTATGTAGCAGCAACCGTCACTTTACAAAATGATGGAAATAAGTGGGATTTGGGGCAATAACAGAATCATTCGAATTAGCATTGAAAACTCTGATTTAGGCAGATGATTATAAATTATTTGGCATTTAGTGCAAAGCCGATAGACCCATACGAACGCTGATGGGAAGTTTTATTTTAAAACTACTTTATCCCAAAAAATGACAAATCTTAAAAGCTTTAGGTTATCTAATTACCGTTACGTTTTAAACGGTCTTTTCCTTCGTATTTTCTTATTATAGATTGATTGCTGGCTAAATGGCCGAAGAATCTGCGTTACCTATGAGCACGTGGGAAATTTCAGTGTATGCAGTAAGTCTTAATCATGAACGAGTTAGGAGGAAGTATCCAAATTTTAATCTTCCTTTAAAGCTATTTGTAAAATGGAGCTCCTCTTGCTATTGAGTTTCCACCCGCCACGGCAAAAGAGCTTTATATATTTATATATATATTACAAAAATATTTCGATAATCACTTATATCCTTTTCAACATTGTCACGCTTGCCGTTAAGCATTTTATATGCCTTCTAAGGTAACTACAAGATAAGCAAATCCAACATGTTTTCGTGTATGTAACACTTGGTGAATTCACAGTAAACATATAGAGGAGACGGAAATTGCAATTGTGCATAACAAGCCAACGACTTAACGAGCTGGCCTTCGAGGTTGAAAATGGTCTTAAATGAATATCTTATAAATTGCACTTCAAAATGCACAATATAAGACTATATATTTTCAGTTATTATGGTAAGAGACAGGATGCATGGAATATATGCAAGAAAGTTGGTGAAAAGGCTCTGTTCCCTCGGAAGCCAGTCAAATCCACTTCAAAGTGCAAACTTAATGGCGTGACCTTCTGGTGCCAGAAGTTATCTTAACTGGAGGCCTTTCCACTTATTCCCATATGTTGACGCGTCGAAGGCAGTCCATTTCCAGTTTATAGGATAGTTCCCGTTTTCTGCTGATTATTTTGCCGTTGCGAATAATTTTTTGGGAACATAATTGTGATTTAGATATGTATTGGTAGACCACACCTTGATTTGTTGCAGCAAAACTAGACCTTGTGTATATAGATGCATAGGATAATGCTTGTCAAAGTATGCATTGTTTGGCTGAGATCACAAAAGTCAGTGCAAACCACGGTCGACATTCCAAACAGCATTCCATTTAGCGTATCCCAACAAGATGTTCATCATACGTGTCGCATAAATGCATAATAAGTGTATGAGGTTGTGGTAGAAAAGTAGGTCGCACATCGTGACGCTGACATAAAAAGGACGATAAAGAGTAAAACAAACATCAATTAACCTGGCAAAATCAATAAACACGTCTTCTATAGACGTTTTTCATGTTTATGTTTGAAAAGATGTTTTAAAAGTCGTAATTCATACTGACTTAACTGTGAAAAACTCGGCGTCTTAGTGGGATACGAACCCACGATAGTAAAAAGAAGGCTTTAGTTCGGCCAACGCTCTAACCACCTGAGCCACGATGCCCTGCCGCACGATGCAAGTTTAGTCACATTTGGGTCAAATTGATTACACAACTAAGGCATTCCCCTTACTCTCGTGGATTCGAATCTTACCGAGGCGCCGAGTCCTTCACAGTTGGTGCAATATGAGTTTTTCAAAAATCAGCCAAAACACCCATGAAAAAGTCATCATAACCGAAAAGGATTTCACTAACTTTAAACTTTCCCATCTGCTCCGAAAATAAAACAAAAAATATTTATGACAGATGTTACTTAAATTACTGTGCTCCAAAACAATTTCATTTAAGCTTTCAAACAATCCGGATACTTCAAATAGGACCAGGAAGTAAGATAAAGGGTTGAGCGTTTTTGGTAAAATGTTTTACGGTGCACATTCGATCAATGATATAAAGCCGAATTATGCATTTTAACTTTATTCGAACATCCAAAAATTACTCCGCACTTCTCTTAAGATATTTATGAAACTGAGGCTGCTTAGTCGTATATTGCAGATCGCTGAAAGTGACTACAATATATTGACTTGAAAAGAAAAAATGAAGAGAGCTTAGGTAGTCTATCTACTGCGCATGAAATATCAAGCTAATCCACCGTATTAATCTTCCCCTAATACCAATATGAACGTTCTTATGCACAATGAAGGATTAGCGTATCACTGGTCGTGTAAATGGGGATTTTTCCGCCACATTTAGTTTTGAGATTTGCAGAAATGTCTTTTGATTTTGAAGTGTTCGCGTTTTCACCTTTCTATTATCTTCAGACTACACCAAACACGGCCAGGTTTCCGAAATCACCATCAAGGCGCAGAAAATGAAGAACTTAGTGGATAATTTTGTCTGCAAGATAAACGGCGGAACCTCTCATTCACAGACAATTTATTGGAATGGTAGGTGTCGGCGCACCAGTTTGCCCACACAACACCTGTTTTTACTTTCGTATGCTATTAAATGACGAAAACAGAGCCAATAGCAAGGTGTAAGGAACGAGAATGGGGCTGGTTAGAGCAATGACGATTGGTTTTGAGATTATATTCACAATCGGCTTGATCAGCAACATATGAATCCGGGTTCATCATCTACATCGCTAATTAAGGCTGCTGTGTGTTAATAAATGTGACTGAGTTTCCGTAATTTAGGAAATACTATTTAAACCAATCGACTTGCGCAGATCGTTGGGTGAGGACTGAGGATGATAGCAGAACGAACTGGTTCATGGGAATCAGTTTAAAGGCCTGACATTTTGCGGTGGCCGGATCGTATGGGATACCAAGTGGTCCCTTTTTCAGGAAAAATGATTGAAATGGCCTGCATGTTAGTTTGATTGCCCTGATTGGTGCCTAAGCACTTTTGTTATGCCACCCGTGTGCTGCAATGACTATCATCCTAACGGTTAAGCGTGAGTCTAGATCTGATCTAATTGCAGATTATTTTTGTTGTCTGCAGTGCGCACTGGCTTTGTTATTGGAAGTCGATGACATTCCAAAAATGCAGCAATAGGTTAAATTCATTCTTCTATCAAAGGTCTGTTTTGGGGCACATCGTCTTAGGTAGTGCCTGGGTAGGGCGATGTACGGGATGGATGTATCGCAGGGATCTGGTGTACTGGCTGTTCTATAGTGGAGCAACTACAACTTAGTCTCTCTTGAAAAATGACTGGAATAAAACAAGACATTTTGGGGTCCTACACAGTGCAAGGATCAATTTGTGACTGGTAGTTTGATTGTGGCACACAGCTGGGTAAAAATAAATTAATTGGCCGAAAAGGGTTGTACAACACCAACGTTTCTTAAAAAAGTGTCAGTGGCAGAATGAGATGTTTGTTTTTTCGACAAACAACTTCGCTCTTAATATTAAAAAGCCCCGTTCTTCAAGGTGCGCCTACCGCATTCGATCGGTTATTTTCTCATGTTTAACCGTCAAGTTAGAATACGCCTTTGTCAAAAACAAAAACAATTTAGAGAACTTCGGGAAAAAGAACTGATTAAATGCTCCATTTTTCTGTGGATAATTTGAAACAAATAGGAGCGGCTGAATGGTGTAAATCAGGAGTTCGGGCTAGGTATTTAACTTTGATATATTCCGGTGCAAATTTGTTTCTGCGCGTTATCAACCAAATGTGGACCGCACATCTTAAGATCACTGCAAAGCGTCACGCTAGAAAAGGTAATTATGGCATATTGGGTGAAAAAAAACATTAAATCCACATTTATCTACTACAACTGCATGGTCTTGTACTGCAATCGCCAGATTTTAAATCATTAAAACACATTTTGTGTAAGTAAGGCAAAGTAACTGTGGCATTTTCTGTTTATTTTTTAATGAGAAGTAGACAGCGATTTGTGCCAGTTAAATGAGGAGGACGTCGCAGAACCATTTTCTAACCATCTGCATCCAACCGGTCAGTAATCAGTTTTTCACAACTAGCTTCCAATATAAATCGTCACTCTCTAAACGAATCAGGTCCATATTATTGCTACATGTCTCTTCTCTAGGCTCTTCCAATGCGGAAACTGCTGACTACCACGATTTGGGTGAGCCGCTAAGTGTTGCATTATGAAAAGGCAGACGTAATGCTAATTCCACTCCAAAACCATATCATTTACCTCGTTCATGACTATTAATGATCAGTACTATGCATTATTTACTACGACACGGGAAGACGCTTTTACTCGTGAGTCCTTAAAACATGAGTCAAACAGTTCATCTTCATAGCGCACAAGTTGTTGTAGATCGGCTTTATAAATTTCGGATGCTAAACGCCGAAGAATGCAATCCTCTGGCGATAAAAAGTCACCGAAATCGTATCCGTTCCACAAACAGGAATACAGTGTTAACTTTCGCCTCCCATACTTGAAGATCACTGCGCAGTGCACGGCTAGTAGGCGTCCTTATTATGCGTAATTATAGAAAAGCCTTTATCGTAATAGTCCGTTTAATTATTTTGTCAGAACTAGACATTGGCGCGAGCTCGTTGGACAAGGAAGAAGGTGTCGAAAAATTCCCCGACAATTTGCATCACACGCGTAAGTAGTTTATTTTTTGTAATGTTTCAAGATAAGTCGTCTTTCTGAAAATGTGGGTCTGGTTTAAGATCAAATATTCCCTTTCCAGGTGCTTTTAATTTGGAAACAGCCGAGGGCCACGATGCAGGTGAGCCACCAAGGGTTAAATTAACAAATGACTTAAATAAATACAGTAGCTGGCTTCTTGATGAAATGTCCCTTGTATTTTTCAAATGGTACGTAGATAAGAAAAAACTATATAGGTGAAAATTCACTATTGATTAAAATGCGAAATAATCTGAAGTTATTTTAGTCACTTTAAGATGACGGCATTCGAGTAAGATATTGCGGCCGCCTGCAAATACCGTACGCGGTTACATAGTTTCTTATACAGAATGGATTTTTCACGTAAACCTTTGACGACATTATAAATTTCGCCATGTTCTCAGTAGAAAACTTTGTCATATACAATGATTGTCTTTAGGGGAACCCATTTTCCGTTTGGAAATCATATTAAGTCGCAGAATAATCTTAGGCTTGACTTGAATTTGCACTTTCCGACTATGTTTTTCAGTCCCCGGTTATTAAGGCGATACCACGTGGAGTTTGCAAACTGTCCGGTGTTAGCAGGCTGTGCTGTGTACTTTTTCAGCAGCAATCAATAATGCACAGTTAAAAGGCTATTCGTTTGAACATTTAGGGTTTCGAAATTTATAGTGACATACTTTTAAAAAGCCATAAATTTTCATTTCCTTAAGCATAATGTTTTATGAAGTCCGGTTTTGTAACAATACATATTCGGTAGAGGGTATTTCTGTGCGTATTTTCTTTAGAAAATGTTTGAATTTACGATAACAATAAAAAAGTATTTTAAGTATGCAAAGTCCATGGGGGCCATTTTATGGATTATGGGTTTCGTAAGTAGCCCATTAAAGTGACATCATCCTGCTGTGGTTAAAATATCATGAGATTATGCCAAATGTTAATTCGTATTGCGTCCTCGCCTAAGTAACTCTTTCTAATCGGCGACAAACTCCTTATCCTCAAACTGCAAACTTTCTACAAAAACTCACGTATCCCATTAAGCTACTAAGAAGGCAAGATTTAAATTTGATAAAACATTACAATGCGGGTAAACTATATTATATACTTTAAATGAAGCATTAACAAACGTATAGGTACGATGCTCTTTAGATACAAACTTAAGGGTTTTTAAGCCAAAATTTAACATTTTCTCGAGATTAGAATTTTAATGCAACCTAATTCGCCTTAAACCTGTTAAATATTGGGTAGCTTTGTACGGGTTTTCTGTAAAACTGTCTGAATTTATAAAAAAATATTTGGACCTATTTGGGAAAAGGCATACCAAAAAATGATCGTTTTGTGGCGTGCCGATCTTTAAGCGACCGAGAAGCGTCTCGTTTCAAAGTCGTCACCCTGTTGTGACCGAAGTATATTGGGATTGTGCGCTGTGAAAATTACTATTGCGATCCCACTTAAGTATTCTTGTCTAATCAAAGATACTTCAGAACTTCGTTTAACATTCCATGAGATATGCGGCTACTATGAATTCTCAGCACCAGTGTTTGACCTCTAATTGCCTCAAATGTGAATCCATCTCGTAAGTGCTCGAATTTTCGTCCACTGGCAACACACAACGACACGGCCATTAAAGATACATTGACATATCGGACATAAATACAATGTTCGTTTTCCCATTCTTGCATTGTAGAAAATTCTACCGGACATCATTGCAATTGGCGTCTAATTAGACGGGTCAGTAGTCTAAATACTAAATTATTTTGTGTTATTTCTGCACTTCTTAAAACATTTTTGTCTAAAACGTCGCCTTAACTCCACCAAATGCCAGGCTTTGACTGCCCGTTTTATGAACAATAGTTATCGAAATGTGGGAGTATTTCGTTTCTAATAAGAAACTCCAATAGTTAGTATATACACTTAAGCTTTCTTTACCGAAAAAATAACATTTTCACATTTTTTCTAAAAGAAACATACGATGACGGAGTACTATGGTCCCTGTGACAATATGAGGAATATGACAGGTAGTACATCAACGCTTCTCGTTTGCCGCCTTAATGAATGCGTATTCAGTATAAACCTATTTACCTATTCGGAAATAAAATTATGTTTTTTATGATACACCAGTTTTAATTAATGAAACACTTCCCTATAGATTTTGTTTAAAGAAATGGTATTCCAACGACAAAAATTTTCCCTAATGTTCACCACCTACTGAATTTTGCAAACCCAACCTTTAGAAGTACATATGGGGGTTTATTAGAATCTTATGTCCAATTTTTAGAATTTGATCTGCCAATGCCCGGTACGCATTATGAATTTGTAATGATGTGCCAAGAATTGTCGTTATCCTTTGCAAATTAATTAACTGTTGTTGGTCAAACAGGTTGCGTATTTTGTTCCATCGATAAGGAGGCGAAACAAAAATTATTAATTCCTTTTTTGTAATCATAGGCTGCCTTTTTCCGTACCGAATTGAGATAATGTCATAGATACCCTTTCGATATCTAAAAAATGTCATTTTACAATTGCCTGGAATAGTTTTTTAATGAAAATTCCTATTTATTTTAGAATCAGCCATCGCAATGTCTGAAGGTGAAACTTAAATTTTATTTACTTTATTCCGCGTGATACTTTTGCTAACGCTAGGACCTCTCTTTACCCAAATGTCCAAACGTCTATTCTTCCGCTTGTTATCCATCCAGGGTATTCGGATTACCTGATATGCTTTAGATAGGACCAGAATACGGACAAGCATTATTCCCAGTAAGAGGAGAGCTCAGCACATATTCTGCACTTGTACAGTAACCACCTCCAGAGAGGACTTCATTCAGGCAAAACTCTCTTACAACCGCAGTAAATGACGTGAATGGGTAGTATTCGTATTGCTGAAACTTTTGCAATCCCAAACATTATAAGGCCTGAACCTGAGAGTGTATAGCCCAGGCAGGCCGCTGTATGGCAAAGCGGGCACGTTAAAATAGTCGCAAAAGGACTGCATGGTCGACTAAATTGGGTCTTGGGATTTGAGAATCGCTCGCAGATAACCTGCGATATTGCAACCAATTGCAATGCTTATGTCTCCAAATATGTCTGTATAGCTTTCCAATTTTCTGTTTAACATCCATTCATTGCATTATATTCCGATTAAATAGTATTCTGACTTTTTTTATAAAGTCCACGAAATGGTTTCATGAACCTGGATTATACTGAGTTTCCAAATGCCGTTTTAGATCGTTTTATCTACCATGATTTTGACAAAATCAGAACTCGGCAGTATGCAATACTCTACTGGATCATCGACACAAGTAACTACAAGATTTCAAATGTGAGTTTAAATGAAAATCATTGAGGGGTACTTAGGCAAAATCAACTTCCAACTGCTAGACCATCAAAAACACGGCTCCTCACATACTTTTCTCCTATTTTTACACGCTTCCTGAATAAACAGATTCCTGACTGGGTGGGAAAATTAAGACTCCTTGAATTAAGGCAAACAACCGACGTTTAAAATGGAATGCCAGCTACTCGTTGAATGTCCGACCATGGTGCATTTTCGTTGATTATCAGTAGGGAGGCATTGAGGCAGAAAGAGTTAATAAGATATTGGGCTGTTTATAGGATGGGATGTTGGACTGCATATGTGACAACGAAATTGTCTCACAAATATCATTATGAAGGTTATTTCTATCACGCTTTTGCAACCCATTTAGTTCTACTGTGAAGATGATCAGGGCATCCTTTGCTCTCTGAATGACAGCGAAAACAAATGCCGTAAGTCCGTATCAAGAGCAATAACTTTCAGTTTATTATTGAACCGAAATGTCTTACAATTTCTTTCAAATGGTTCACAAAAAAAATCACCCGAATAAGTATAGCGTTAAACAAACTTAGCCTGCCGAAACACGATATGCGTAAACCGTTATTCTAATAATGTCCTTTAAAATTAAAACGAACTTATAATTTTTTTGCGCCTAAACGCAGTCCATATATCGAAAGCATCAGCGAAATAGCTAAAGTTATTTGTATTCGCATACAGTAAGACAAATGCTCCTTACAGTTCACCATTGCAATTATTAACACTACAAATATCAACCTAATTACAGAAGCCCATTGAGGCGTAAATTAACGCTTCAACAGCAGGGATGTATTCGTATTTTCTAGGCAAAATGAGCACGTCCACAGCCTTGCAAACTCTCATTTGTCTATTTATATACTGTTCTCTTAAAGATCTCCAAAGTTTTGACGACGTCGCCATCTACACACACAAATTGGAACATACTGCAGAAAAATTGGAATCTTTACAGTGTGTTCTCAACGACAAATACAAAAGCAGGAAATCGGTCATTTGGGATGGTAAGCGGTTCCCATTTCTCTTATGAATTACAATGTTTCGGACATAGTCTACTGATCAGATTGATTATCCGAAGGCTTTGTGTATTCGTCAATCTCAGCAATCGAACAGATGTCATATGCCTCCGATGAAAGTAATGCAAGCATCCATGTTCAGTGATTGACTAAAACACATTGTGACAAGACCTATCTGAGCTAAATAAAAACCTCCAAACGACCATTTGCAGAAATGCGCTTCTGCATGGAACTGGGTAACTAGGAATATTATTGTTTCAACGCCGACATGGTTTTGGCAATCAGAATCAATGTCGGGCACTAAAATGAGAAAGTCTTTGCGTTATCTAAGACGGAAGATTTTTAAATGACGCAGATTTACAGAGAGCTGAAGGCAGTACCAGCTCTATCTTCTCTTATCTGTGCCCACAGTGCAGCAGAATACTGTGTGCAACAAATGAACCTCGTTGTTGCACCTCGAGTTAGCCGGTAAACATTTCCACTTAGTTTTAGTTGACTCAGTCCTAAGCCCGCCATCACAGGTCATTATTTAAACCCTCCTGTATTGATCGTCGCGTTGTCATCGCCCCCCCCCTCTTAGTACCAAATGTCTTGAATTGAAATATGTCACGTGCACCATCTTAGCGTGCTTGTCTGATTAGTTAACACAACTTAAGACGACGCGCTCCGAAGTCAGCATTCTAAAACCATAATGCCAACTCTTGAGACAGCATGCTTGTGAGACTTGACAAATTATATTATTAGAATAGCAACCCAGCAGACGCATGGCCTGGAAAAAATATGAACTGACGCCTGCCGGTATTGCTGTTAAAAGCCTTTCCATCTTATCTGTCCATAAAACGTTAATCCATGAAGTGCCTATGACGATGTGGTAGAGGTTGGCGGTTTACGTCCGTTCCGGGACACATGTTTTCTGATTACCGTGAATTCAGCATTTCGCAAAAAGTATTAAGAAAACAATTACAAGATGTTTCATTAGCGTGGCCTTTCGTGTTTGTGCACTATGATTATAACTGTCTTTCAAGAAGATCTTTCATACTCCAGTAACCCTGTTTTGCGAGTCAAAAATGAGGTAATTTTTCGTTCCCGTTACTCGTTCGATTTAAACAGCCTTACTTCATCGTTTGACGATTGTACTTAAATGATCAAAAATAACAGTCATTCCCATGGCTGGATTACCATAAGAATTTCAGAGCAATTTGATAGACAGTTGTTTTAGGTACCAGGTAATGTTGTTCCGACGTATTTCACAATTCATTCGACAAACCCATATGGCATTTGAGTTAGATTTCATTGAAGTTGTAGATAACGAGTCGAAAATGTGGTAATTCAAATTACTCACAGTCGATGAACCGTTTCGGGTGAGAAATTCAACAAACATTCGATGGCAATCAGAGCGGTCTTTACCAGGGCAGCAAATACGCATGGGAGCAGGTTAATTTCCCGTCACTCGTTAATCTCAGATACTAACGATCTGAAATTTTTGGGTTTATCCGAAATTATAAACGACATGAAATACGTATCATCACGAAAAGGCGATATTTTTGATTTTCCTATTTCTTCTTCCGACTTGAATCGTTTGGTGGTTGAACAAAGTCTGCAAGTCCAAGTATAAATTATGAAAAATACGTAATCCCCTTCGTACTGAGTAAAGGAGATAGTATTTTTATGCATGTTCTTTATGAAATATGTCCGAATATACGAGAGCACCGAGAATCGACAAAGGTCGTGCTTTTAAAATAAACATTTTTCACGAAGTAAAGTATTTTCAGGCGGTCTAGACGAAGTTCTTTCGAACGTTCCCATCATGAAGTAACTGCATTATTTTAAGATTGTACTGCATGGTGATTAATATTAAAGCCCTACTTAAGTCATCTATCCGAGTCGAATCTATATTTAACCTTTCGGCTAATATTTTATAAATTAACACATCTACTGTATATTTGACCTGCGAGACCTTTGAGCATAAGGCGATATTGTTTGATTTTCCTCCATATATTTCTTATTAAAATTGATTAGCAATCAAAAGTTTGCAGGATTGAGGGGAATTAAGTAGTCTTCTAAGTACATTTTGTGGTTTTTACTTACCGTTCCTTAGTGCCAGTGGATCGAAAATATGGGGTATTACCACCTTGTCTGAGAATATTTCGATATTATAAACATATTTGTACAAGGTTTTGTTCCGTAGCCCCACCTTATTGATACCATATGGTTAGCTTGTTTAAACAATGTTCGTTAACGTACCTAACTTAGCTATTCGTTGGACTATGAAGGGAAAGAGGGCGTCTGCAAAGCTCGAAGCACACACAGGAAAGCGGGTGAACGTGGCGTGTACACATTCCCCTCTTCCGACACAGCCACTCGCTGGATTAATAGGGTAAGGAAGGCGCAATCACAAGAGAAAAGCCACCGAGGGAACCGCGTGTTAATTCGCAATGCATGGCCACTCTAGTGGAACTGACAGAGTTCCATCCCGTTCGAACAATGCCATTAGCAAGCCTACTTAGCCACTACCTGGATTAAGATAATAAAGAAGGCGCAGGCTGGGCTTAAGGCTCTGACAGAGAAGCGCATATGACTGATTAACTGATGTAAAGGAGGATGGCGTATAAGCGAACCACCCTTTGTGGCAAAGTTACTTGTAAGCTTAAAATGGTAAGGAGGGCGCAAACACGCGATATTTGTAAGGTAAGCATACTCGCATATACTAAAATTTTTTGGAAAGCTAACCACACGGTATCAATAAAGTGCAGCTACGGAGCCAAGCCTCGCCCATATTTGTGCTTTAAATGAGCATTATGTCAATTATGCAGTCCTTTTCCCATTCTGTTTTATCCATGAGGCACGATATTTTATAGTATATTTGGGCATATACGACTTTTGTTTTAGGTTGCTTTTCTTTAACGTTAACCTTGTCGTTAACATTCAAAGTCATAATTAATAGCTTGAACATGACAAATCTCTCGTTTTAATCGAATATTGAAGTCATATTCGCAACAAGCATGTAAGCTTTCCGTAAAGCATCCTTCATGTTTGCAAGCGACAGATGATACGATGAGCCCGCACGAATTAAGTGCTCTTACACCGTCAATGATACGTATGAGTTAGGATAACCTTTTGTTTCCCATTCTTTTTTAGACAACTATTTCCCTCACAGTGAAAGGACACACCGACATCATTGACAGCCGTTCTTCAGAGCTTTAAGCGTGCAATTAAAAATATGTGGATTTTCTTGTTCTTCTGAAGAAAGCTACCGATCTGTCTATGCAGAATAACACTGGAAATATAAAATGGTTTCTTTACGGCCGGCGAGAAATTTTGGTTTTCTATCTGCGAAAGGTTGTTCAAATTGTAACAGTCTTCCAGTTGCGCAAATCTGAATGCATACGCAGAGGTCAAAGAAAACTCTGGGAAGCGTGTCAAGCGAAGAATGTTCTTGTTCCAGCGACCGTTTAACCTCTCTTAAAATGCACCTAGACTGGGTGCAACAACCGCGTCTCGAGTTGGTTATTTACATCCCCTGTTGAATTATCGATGTAAAGGTTTTTTGTATGGGCCATAAGTAACGATATTCGCTTGCCCCCTATATTTTGGAGCTATTAATTTGGTGGTGGAAGCAATGGATTTACCTAACAAGCATTCGGCTTAAAATGAACAACGACGGTGGGTATCCTCTCGGATAATACGTGTAATGGGAAGAGCCTTCGATGCAGGTGACCTGTACTAGGGTAAATTCCTAATAGAAAAGATTATTTTGACGCCACAAGTCCGCCCATCGCAAAAGATCATCTTAACACCAAGAGAAATTGAGCGCTGTCATGTTGCGCCCTTATGAAAACGTTTATCTCTGTAGCGTTTAAGTTGGCAAGCTCAGTCGAAATACATTTTCGCCTCTGCCAGTCGCATCTCAGGCAATCAAAAATGAAGACATTACAGCAAACTGATACTGATGCAAAGGAGGATGGCATAGAATCGCACCTCCGTCTGTGGCAAAGTTACAATACCTGCGTTAACTCATGAAATGTCATGAATTTACACAGGTAAACGACTTTAACGTAGAATTGGTAAACACTACGGCTCCCAAAGTCTGATAGCGGAAAACAAAAGACGTGTCAAAGAAATAAAGCAAAGTTTGGTTTAGAAAATATTATTTACTGAGATAAAAATAAATAATTTTCGACGAAAGTCACATTTTCGAGAAACGCCTATATTACAACACTAAAACATTCTAAGGAGCAAAAATCTCTCCTTAAATGTAAATTGAATCAAGTCGGGCGTCCGTGCATTCTAACTGTAGGAAAAACCTCCTAGAAAATATGTTTTAATCTATAGACGGTTAAGCGGATGTCACGTGAGCCAATGAAAATACAGCATCGTAGCTAGCCTGTTTAGTAGCTGTGATAAATAACAAGCAAATCCATGTGGACAACAAAGAAAAACGTTAACTTGATATCTAACATTAATATATCTATCGATCAATGAAGCAACCGATTAAATTATACCTTTTATTGGCTGTATCTGGCGTCTGTCGGTCTGGCTATGCAACTGCCTAAATATATGATATCCGTGGTGTTGTATAAAATGAAAGTGATCGAATAAAATTAAATTTTTGATTCAAAACTTCCTCTTTAAAAGTTTTGGAAGTAAACAAGACAGTAACAAAATTTTATCCTGCAAAAAACGTTTTAGCAAGGAAAAGAAACACTTTACCGTTTTATATTTAACCCTGTCCAAATTAATATGTCTAACAAGAAAACGCGATTTGCACCGAGCTATAAATTCAAATATGTCTGGATCCCTGACCTCATTTGCAAAAACGCTGGCAATAACACGGGACTGTCTAAGTTTAGAATTCCAAGGAAACTGTAAGGAATAGAAACAACAATAATAATTCAATTCTGTAAAGGTTAATTAATACTTTTTACTCAGACCTACCAGCGCATGGCTACTACCCACTTAGATACACTTATTTATTATATCTAAAACCAATTATTTGGCCAGAGTATATGCGTCGGGTGTCGTCTGCAGCTATAGGTCGGGAATAACGCTATCCTATTATCGAATGTTGCGTTCTAATTTGTGATGCCGGCTGGAGAGCTAGAATGAAAGTTTCGTTGTAAAATTAAAAACTTTTAAATATGATAATTAAAATTGAAAGATTAATAAAGCGCAAAATTTTAAGATCTTTCTTTACCCTTCGTTGGCCCCTATATCCACAGTGTCGACTAAATTTATATTATATTTACATCCAATAAAGTATATAATTGTTGAACACAACACGCATAACTGCGTTCTCCCATATTCTAAAACTTAAAATTTATATAGTACACCAAACCAAAAACTGTGCCCTGTTTGTGAAAATACAAACCTGTTTTCCTTATGACTTTTGTCTGCGTTTCTGTGCCGTTTAGCACACAGGTGTATTCTTCTTTGTTAAGCTTCTTAAGCTTCGCGCGGTAGGCAAATATCACCAGCTGACCATACTTGTAGAGAACTGAAAGTGAAAATCTCTTATTAAATGAACTTATATTTAAACAAAGCTCTCGGCTTTAATTTCAAAACCATGCAGGTGTTTACCACTGTTCAATGTAGGCGAAATTCCGAGTTCCATGTGTGGGCAGAAGAAAAGATGAAAGTTGGCCGAGCATCGGAAGCGTCACAGCCTCCAAGATAATAGCCCACGCCGCAAACAAAACAAGGTGATCATTGATTTGGGTCACAGCCACGAATGAGAACTCAGCCAATCGATTGATCGATATAGCGCTGAGGCACAGAGCCCTGCGCAGTCGCCTCCAGTCTTGGATAATCGATCGATAATTCGTTAGCACGCCAAATACTTGTCGATTGTTTTGTTGTTGTTACTACCTTTGACGATTGGCACATGCACCAGTTAGAAAGTTCAGAATAATAGACAGACTGCATTGGTGCTCAGCCAGTCTTCTGCTTTAATTAGGCTGAGCAATGTGTTTGGTAGTATGCCCGTAACGCAAGTAAAGATTTTCGCTATTTTTTGGTACTTGAGGCCTTGTGTCGCAGGCAGCAAAGACCATCTCACATTTCTTCCATCACAGAGGTGCAATCGATTTTATTATATTTCAACACTGCACACGAAACGGAAATTTAGAGCAAATTTATACTAGTAGTATAGTTTCCAAGACCACAGCAATGTGTGACATATAAACTGCGTTTGTGGGTACTTTATTCCCTGGTTTACAAACTCCTAGTCCGCAATATTTCTAGGTAACGCCAAACAAAGAAATATCGTCCTACTTGACTTGACTGTACATCCATTCAAAGCAATTATCCCCACGCCTTCAAAGCGATTTTTACTAACATGCATGAGATTTTTCAAAACAGTTATACATTTTCATTGGCGCTATATCCTAGGCATGTTGCGACGCCATTTACAAGGTTTTGCAAATGTTAGACTGTTGAGAACGACAATGTTCGCAGCAGTGTTATTTTTCACCGCCATACACTCATTTGCATCTGTTTGACATAAAGAAGTTTCAGAAGCGCATTTTTCTACTTTTTATATTGTAATTACCATACACCTCCGCCCCCATTTAATAACTTACATTTCCTAAACTCCGGTTGATCAGATCATGGTAAAACAAAACACAAGGCCACCTTTTTGATCTCGTTGAATTTTAAAAATATCCGTCGTATTAACAGTAGAAAATACTTGGTGCGAACACAGACACATGTTAATAATAAACGGCAAATCTGCATTGACATTTCGATGTTCGGTTCGTTTTTGTAGGATTTTGTTTAGTTACGATGCTTGCTCTTACAATGTGAAACTCTAATTTCATTTTTAATGTTAACAAAACTGATCGTCAGTGTAAACATACAAATCACACCTAGTATCTCACATTCAAATAGCTTAAAATGGCTCGTAATTTTTCGTAAAAACATACTGAGTTTTGGGCGCAATCAGCAATAGCCAGCTTCTTCTTAAGTTTAAATTAAATGGTTTAATTTGCACTGTTATAAGCCGCTCACCACAAGGCTTTGTGTAGACACCCTTACCGCCGCAGATGTCTCCATTCCACGTTCCGCACTTAAACTAGGAATAATAAAAGTTTTCAGAACATTAAGTGAATCCGAGCGTGTAGTTAATCTCTAAAGCTAGATGAAAATACATAATTAAATGGACAAAGAACGTAGAAGAACACGTACATACCTTTGTTATGTTTTGTTTACCCACATCCATTATCCAGTATAGCATGAACTCGTGACGGTTGATGCTTTGATCGAACTCGTGATAGAGGAAGGTTCCTACAAAGCACGAGACAGGCAAACTCAAATAGACGTTTTCACATAATTAATTTACAACGGCCGAATTAAGCAATTTGGTCAGATTCAGAATACAGCCATCTGAGCGTTCCCATTTCCACCATGGTGAATACTTGTCATAATTGTAAAGTACCAGGCAACACGGAACTGAAACAAATATGTGTAGTAAACATTGTAGAGCATCGCGAAGCCGCCAACGGCCTTTGTAGATGTGGTGGGATTGTTTTGTGGAAAATTGACTTGCGCCGTCTATAAAATGCGCACAATTTAAAGACCGCTTCAAGCCGAAGATACAGTTTGCGTTAATCCAAATATATCGCCTTTTTTGATTTTTGGTGAATAAGGAGGTTTACTTTTACAAGATAGGTGGCCAAACCGAAATTACCGTGAGGTAACCTAAGTGATAATTACAAAGTGGGCGTTTTTATTAAACCAAAAAAAGTCTTGAAATCAGTTTGAAATTTTGCTGTCTGGTACCAGGGGTGAGTTAACAAAACTCAGACAGATATTGAAAAACCGACGCCAAACTTACGATGTTTCGAAAAAGGCAGTCTTTCTGAAATATTAATCAATAACTTTTGAAGATTATTTACCTATCAAAAGCCTAAAAATATGTTAAATTAAGGCGGCAGCGAATAGAATACGCCCAACCAAAGGGTATTTTGCTTTGAAAAATTAGATGACGTACCAGTATTACTTGAGACTAAAAATAATTGATGTTGTAGGAACGCATTTAATTACGCTTGTAATGAAACCTTAAATTAAAAATCATAGTTTCGTTTACAAAGGCCTTTTAAATACAACCGATAGTGATGCGCCATGTTTAAACTTTATACGCATGACCATGAAGGCCAATATATACCTATGTTTTATGCACGTTTAGGCGTTATATTACAATAACGATTACAAACTGCATCTAGCGAGCAAAACAATAAAGTCTTAGATTATTATTTTAGGAAATTAAACATTTTTTCAGCGCGGCTCCCATTTCTAAGGCACAAGCAAGTCCAAAAAAAGCTAGAGACTCTTACAGTCCATAAGCACTTCCAGAATGTTTGTCCAAAATATTAAGTGATTCAGAATGCCCATGTTTTAACGGGTGTTTAAGTTAGTAAAGCGGTTTAGATAAACTGTTTACCAATCAGTTAACCTCTTTTGAGATACAATTAAACAACTATGACTTACCGAACATTTGTTCCTCCGTCATCTTATTCATGAACTGGTGGCCATGACAATAACCCTTCATTTTTATTTCATCTCCCATCTGAAAAATACAGACGATGAGCAAGTTATAAAAAGGAGAGTAAGAAGAAGGGCACTTCAAAAAAGTAATGAATGAAAGCCGCTTCTGGGACTCTAGAAGAGGCGTTTGCTGTATTCGGTAAATTCAAAGGGGAAATAATCGCTGTCTGTCGTAGCAGGTATAAGTGAAGATAACGGGCATTTGCATGTACTGCGGCCTGACAAAATGCCAATATAACATCAATAAGATCGTCTACGATAATGATTTTTGATCAATATGCCCATAAACGTTGACCGTGTATGTATTACTAAGCCCATATTTGCAAGTACGATATCTGCCGTACAAACAATCATGGAAACGGTGGCCTCTAAATAATGCTCATCATAAGAGTCACACCTAATTGTCTTACTTTGAGTTATTCGCCGAGATAAACGTTCACTTATGGGAGTGATCTCAAAAGGTTTTATTGATAGAAAATTTAATGTATATTAGTGTCCAATATCAATCATTTGTCTACCCCCTTTCCAAGGCACGAAGAAGAGATATAAATAAAATTACTGAGTGCAGCATACATGATGTCAGTAAAAATTTCTGAAAAAAATGGCAGATATACAGTTTGCCGTTTGTCTTCTTGTCTCAATCAGAGGATCACGAAACGGCAGGGCTTTTAACATGCTTAAAGCATTGTTTTCGTTTACCCTCACTGTTATGCGAAAATGCAGATCTAACTGAATAACTGGGCACAATGTGTGCGTAAAATGCAATTAAGGAAATCAACCACAGTACATAAGGTGAGTTATATAAGAGAATAATGGGAAATAACAACCAACCCAAGGGTATACGTTCCAGGAGCAGTGATCTCCGATAAACAAATATTCTGGAAAAAAGTACCATACTCTTTTTTTAGGTAAAACAGTGTTAAAAAGGCGAACGTTTTTATTATTATATTTAGCCTACATCTTTGCTGTTATTTGGTATTCGGCGCAAAAATTGTTATGATCTATAGATTTCTTGGTAACTTATGACGCAAAGTTTAAATTCGGCTGTTTGCATTTGTGGAATACTTTACCTCGTCACTTATCATAATGACACTGGAGAATATGTCCTAACATATCCAAACAGTTGTGTCTACAGTATTCCTTAAATGAAAGTACGATTGATTTTCGAAGTCACTTTCAATGAAAAGGTTCTTGCAACACGTTTCCACGTAATAATAGAGCATACTACATTAAGCATCTTGTAGAGGAAAGCTTGTTAATTTACGCCAAATTAATCGTCAAATGGAAAATTATTAAAAGCGACAAATTAGTCAAAACCTGTATACAGAGGCAATACGTGTATTTATTACACCTGTGTAAATATTCGTGCTCAACCAACCGCTGAGATTTTGATAAAGTCGTAAGTTTGCAATTCTGTTGTCTATACAGTAGTCGAAATTAATGATTCAGCAAAAAAGCTAACATTTATTCATGAGCGACTTTTGCTAGCCATATAATGCAGCGACCCGTCTTACGGCAATCCTGCCTTTCCTTAGTTCAAATAGGTAAACGGTCGATAATAACGAAGGCCATTTTTAAATGTGAGACAGAAGGCTGTAAACTCGGGGTGTTAAATACTGCTGAAAATGTATAAACAAGATCGACTGCAAAATATTGAATAATTTAGGTGTTTACTTTCGAAAATAATTTAAAATTACCCGAGCCATGTTCGTCATCATTATCTTCCACACTACCGAATCCGAATTCGCTTCCATGTGAAGGCTTGGAGTCTTCTAATACTCTGTACGGGAATAAACCTATAGTGAGAGAAAACAGATTAAATGACAGATATTTGTGCAGTTGTCGCTACCTCCAACATACGCACCCAAATCTTGCTTTGCTTACAAGCAAACGTTTAAATAAATAAAGCATGTAACTACTTTTCACCCCGTTGACAGTACATGTACTGGTTTAATATCAAATGGATCAAATTAAATTAGCATACAAATGCCAGTGTTTATTCACAAGCTGAAATTAAGAGTCATGCGGCATCATAAAAAATATCTAAAATTTACATTTAAACTTTTTTAAATCTTTGTTCGTTTTAATCTAAAGTCCCGCTTTTGGCATGTGTCTCCATAACAATAACTCATATATGTACCGGTGTATAAGCTTGGGGATATAAACGGGCCTATTTAGGTAGATTTATAATATTCCCTTACTTTAGAGTCCTTAATCAACTCGCCATTACCCAAACACTCTAGCTTAAAAATGGAGAAAAACCCAAACCAACTCGCAGAACTAGACACATGTAACTTCTCCGGAGTTCTGGCGGATGACTGAGGATGTTGGAAACTGCCACTGTCATCACCTATCGCGACGATGGACAACGGTAGATGGTGTAACGACCCGCCGTCACTATACAAAACATTTGGACTAACTTGCCGGAGTTGGCACAGTTTTAGACAGCTCAGATACTTCGGGAAATACCAGCGAACCACTTTGAACTTGAGGAACAGGGCATATAGCTGCTCCACAGAAGTGAAATGAAGTCCACCGCGAAATCGTGATTCGCAGAAGGGGAATCCGGTCGCACCAAAAAGGTCGATAAGGCAAAATGTTTCTCGCAAGTTGACAACCGCGCAATCTGTAAGCCATTCGGTCCAAAGCGCTATATCCTCTCTCCACCATTTTAAGTGCGGAGAATTTGCGTAGGTGATGTATTTAGCCACACGGGGAATGAGCAGCCTAATACTGATTCAGTCTGTCATTTAAGATGAGGGGATTTTTAAAATATTTACGAAGTTGCTGAAGAAAAAGCTACTATCGCCTCAAAAAGGTCACATGCATTTTGACGCGGGAACCAATAATAATGTTAGTTATAAGGTTGCAAATCGACTGCAACCTACGAACACCCTTTGATCTGATTACGTCTGGAATGTTGAATAGGAATTTAAATCAGAGCATCAAACGAAAACAAATTTTTGTTCCCGACAGAAGAATCTGACACTACTGCTGGCGTACACATTTCTTATAGCAATAGGAAACAAAAAGTAAAAAAATTGCCCCTCGTCTTTAATATGCATGGGTTTTCCCAAAATGAACAATGGACGCTAGAACGGAAAACCAGACGTAGTACTTTTGGTGACAAAAACTGAGATCAAAATTTTCAAACAACTTTAACATTGTGAATTTTTTCTCTCCACCAGTCCGCTCAAGAAAGCGTCCTTTTCTCTTGCATAAAATTTGTCTGCGTAATTTTACTGTGTGTAATGTTTGTAAATTTGAGGTAAATATAGTGTCGCGATATAATCGGGCCATGTCCTATGCTACAACTTGCTCGAGACATCATTTGCAAATTTATGCAGGTTTTTCTTTGAGACGAGATATTCATTTTTGTTCTGATGTTACCTGGGAGAATCACACTGCCCACGCACGGGTTACTTTTTAGAGAAGAGATGTTATATCGATTTTTAAAGGCCACGCTACAACATATATGCGATTTTATATCCAAAAGTATAAAATTAAGCCAAACAGGTAAGAGGTCTTTTGCGAATTTGAAAATTCTACGAGTTAACACCAAATTAACTAGTACCAAATAGTTATTATGAATTTCAAACACATAAAACGTTAATTTTCGTCTTGTCTAATATCTTTCTATACGTAATTGAAAGACGGCACGAACAAAACATCAACCCGTTCTGAAAAATATCAATATTTATGACGTTTATTGACCGTGCATTGATGGTTATCGAATGGACCCTTGAAAGTCAATAAAAGGGCTCTTGAAAAAACAAGAATATACAATCTGTCTTCATGAGCAATCGACTGAGAACACTGAAATTCATAAAGTATTTAGCGACATTTTAGGGCCGATCTGAAACGTAGCGTAAAATAAGAATAAAGAAAAAACGCAAGATAATTTGATGAAAAAGTCCGCTTTAGATACGCAAAATGGCATGTTTACAATAACATCTCCACCTGCATTACAGATATGACCGTTATTCGTATTACTTAACAGACTAATAGCCGGTTTTGGTCTCTTATTTTTTGCTATTATTTTAAATTGGATAAGAAGGTGGGCAAACAATATTTCCCCACTATATCATATCCGTGGTGTTAAAAGTAAAACTTTATTTAAAGCACACCTTGCCAGTGGATTGATTTGGACATTGACCAACGACCATCTTTGGTACAGAGAATGTTGTCAATATTCTTCTCCGAGCCATAAAACTTCAGGTGAACTTTTAATGTCTCGGAGTATTGCACGAGATCTTTTAACAGAAAAATTAGGTTGAACGGCACAGTCGTCTATGAGAAGTATGAAAATTAGGTTTGTCGACTAACTTGTTATTGGGTATATATATTTATATGAAATGTAATTTGCCACGTGTGCCAAAAGAAAGATTAACATTATATTTTGGTTTTTCTTCAATAAAAACTTTTCACATAGGAGCATGCGAAAAGATCAAGATGGCTTTAATAGAATCATTTTATATTTCGCCGGTTATAATTGTCATTTAACATGCATTATCTTAAGCAAAGATAGGTCACGGATTACAGGCAATGAACTTAGGCTGCAATGATCACCCACCACAATCTCCGTGCGGCATACGTGTGGGCTGTCTTGTGCAAACTCTATATCCATTTCTCCAGCAGGAAATCTGTCAAAGAATACAAGAAATGTTTCAGTCAATTTCAAAAAAACTACGGTAACCTGTACAATGACTGACCGATCTCATGAAATATTGGTTGTAATTTTGAAATCCCTTGTTGATTGGGAAGGTTTCTTTAGGCATGGTTGTGATGCCGCTTATCTTGCAGCAAAATCCTATAACATTTCGGACTTGCCAGAATGTTGGCTAATGAATGCATTTCTTTTCAATCTCCTGCAGAAACCATACTTGGAAAAGATGACTACATAAGAATGCTCCTTCGTCCAGTATGGAATACAAAAATAACGTAATTTCCTATCAAACGACTGAATGAAAGCAT